AAACATTATAGGAGGTTTTGTTTCCTGTAATTCAATCTTGGTGCATAAGAGAGAAGAAATTCTCTCTATAAGAATTAAGAATTTCTTTCTACCCCCATGACAGAGAAACCACTATGAGAAATTTAATGCTATCAATATCTTCACGCCGTGATTTATCATAGTATTATCAGAACAAATATGGTCAATGACAATGGAATATGAAGACTGAGAAAAATCAAATCATTCAAAAGTGTCAAGTGCATACAAGGGAATTACAGCTCCTTTTCCGCTTTTATTTGCAAAGAGAGTCCTAAGTTTTGAGATGTGCCCCCTTGGAAATCAAACCAAAACTGACATTAAAAAAATAAGGAAAATTTTGGGAGGTAAAAAAAAAGAGAGTCATTGAGCCAGCCTTGGCAATTTTTTTTTTTGCTTTGGCTAATTATGTTGAAGATGCTCTGAAGATGAGGAATTTGAGAGACCCCAAGGAATAATAAATGAATGTCCCCTTTGAGTGTGTGAAGTAGCTGCCAAAGCTTGATCCCACAACACACATCCAACCTCCTCCATACATCATGTCAAATTCCTGAAAAAAAATTAAAAAAGAGAAGAAATCATATAATTTTAATTCAAGCAGAACTTTGCAAAACCATGAAAATGTTAAGAAGAGGAACTTAAACTCTCTGGTCACGTTATTAGATTACAAAACCATGATTATACCAAGCTTACCCGTTCAAAACATACTTAAAAAAATGATTAGATCACTGATTAAGGTTTACCTTCTTGATATGGGAGGCAATGCTTCTATGGTCAAAGACATCAAAGAGGTCTAGAGCTTCAGAGGCTGATGACATGGCTCGCAACTGCATCTCCTCTTCCATGTCTGTGTCTTTTACCAATGCTCTCCCTTTTAACATCCTCTCTCTCTCTCTCTCTCTCTCTCTCTATATATATATATATATATATATACACCAAGATTATTGGGATTTGGGACAAGGGTGTGATTTATGGAATGTTGTATGTCTCTCGTTTTATATATAGACACAAATTCACCAAAATTGTTGGGACGCATGAGAACAAACAGTAGAGAATTTTTAAAGCTAGATGTGGTGTCGTCAATTTTGACCACGGAAGCCATACGCAACTAATTAGCTAGATTAAGCACGTGGCATGGGAGGTACAAAAACTATAATCAAAGCAGGGAATCTTTATTTTTGAGATTATTTATTTGCAAAGTGGCTATCGTGGTTCTTCCTGGCAGAAGGCTTTGCCCTTTGAATGGCACAGCTCTTTGATCATCAACCTAATCGATCTTCATTTTTTTTTCTCTTTTTTTTATTTTTAAGAATTTCCCCTTTTGGTTGATGGAGGTTAAGCCGCAAGCATATATCAGAATAAAATTTTGTCTGAACACGTGTCTCATAGCACAACGTATTCATAAATATATAGAAAATATAAAATTTTGGCAGAAGGCTTTGCCCTTCGAATGGCACAGCTCTTTAATCATCAACCTAATCCTTTATTGAAGCTTTTCCTTCCAACATTTTTTTTCTTCCCTCCCCTTTTCTTGTCTCTGTGAAATTAGAAGAATAACTTGTTAGATATAGGTGCCCTGCAGGCAATAATTGTATATTGTAACAGGACCTATATGAATATAACATCCTTGTTCAAAATAATAGTATGCTATTTTGGTTAGATTTATCTGGTATTTTTACATACAGATAAAGTCCTTAGAATGATACTAGACTATCAGACATTTCGGATATGAACGTAATGAAGAGATCTGATTTGTCGCTAACGTATATTCTATAATGTTCCTAGTCGATGAGGTGTTGAAATGGGATATCATCACTTTGGTAAGACTAGTGTATACTTTATTTCTTCTTTGAAAGGACGATGATCCATCTCTTAGATCATTGATGTGAGACATCAAGATATAGTATACAGGTGACTCATTAGTGAATGAGTTGACTGAACGACTCACTGAGAACATCTAGTTGGTAATTATACTTAACTGTCAAATAGAAAATCTCAAGTGATATAGTACATAGTAGTCTCATGACCTGAGGCATGAGTGCAATATCTTACATGTCAGTATAGGTATACTTAGACTTTTACCTAACCACAGTTCTCATCGAGTTGTGCATAACGGTTCTTGTTGGGTACATCCCGATGCATAGGTAGATATTAAGATGTCAAGATGGGATTCGTCTCTCCCAGTATAGGGGGTTGATGTCATAAGATTGTTTGATATAACTATAACCTGGAAATCCTTGGCCGAGATAAAAAAAGATAAACTGATTGTTAGTTTGATCTTATAGGTTATGAGTTTAATATCTACAAACACTAATTGAGCAATTAGGGTTTGACAGTTTTCCATACCCTAGGCTTAATAGTTTGACATGGTTTGACGAAGAGACCGGACTATACGGCATTATCACTGAGTGGTCCTGATATAATTGTGTTAGCATCTTGCAGACATTTATCACAACTTATACCCGGGTAGTCTTCATGTGTAGCTAGCACCTCTGTTGTACTTGTGGATATGATCCACTGCCGAGTTCTTAAGTTGGGCCCTAGAGTCACACCAAGCGCGTACTTGAATCCTATGAAACACAATTTATAGAGTGATGCGTATGATTGATACGCATATATGATTTTATCGGATACACATAAACAGTTATGTATATCGATAAAATCGGAATGCTATGTGCTTAGGAAATAAATTCTAGTATTTTTCCTATAAAGTTAACTTTTAGTCAACTAGTTGACTTTTTGGTCAACAGTTGACTTTTGGTCAACTCATTGACTTTTTGGTCATATGATGACTTATTAATCAATGATTGGAAAATTACAAAATATCGTATTTATGAAATACAATATTGATTTGGTATTCTCATTTATGAAATACACATACCATGTATAATGAGTCATGAGATGAGTCATTTAGTGGTATGGTTTGAGCACATGGTTTATTAGCACATGGTTTTGAAATGTAATGATTCATGAGATGATTCATTGCATGACTCACTAGATTAATCATTGATATTTGATGATTCATTGCATGACTCATAGGATGAGTCATTCATATCATGAACATATTTCACTCTATAAATATGAGCTCTCTTTCTTATGGAAAGGCTAATGAAAAATTGGCTAAGTGGTTTTTTCCATAAGAGAATAAAAGAGAGCTCTCCTCTTACTAAATTCTAGCAATCTTGAGTAAGAGGAAGTAGTAGGATTTTATTGTACCCCCGGGTGGATATCTTACCTTGTGTCTCAAGAAGACTCCAATTTTATCAAGCCCAATTGAAGATTTGGAGATCCACTACGAAGAGATTTTCTACTACAAGGAGCAAGAGCTAAGGGTTGTTCGATCTTCCATCGAATCACGCTTCGAAAGTATGACTTTCTAACTCTTGAATGCTCTCTTTAATATAGGGATTATGTTAGATTTAATTAGGATGGTCCTATTATGTATTTCATGCTCTCTACATGCTTAGTCTTCCGTTGCGTATTTTGCATGTATTTAGCATGTATTTCCTTCATGGTATCAGAGCCATGGTTCCATCTAATTAAATCTTAACATGCATATCTAACTCATAGAGGACTTTGTTCTTGCTTCTAATTACTAGTTTAATTAAAAGATGTTTTAATGAAACTAGTTAATTTATTCAAGTTGTTTTGTAATAAATTATACTAGTTGTTGATTCAAAAATGTGATTTTTGGTTCATATGTTTTTAGGAGTAAAAACACTTGTATAAATTGCAAAACACTTATTTACAACTAGTGTAGTTGTATGTTAGAAGCATGATAGTCCTATTTGAGTTAGGATAATCCCTATGTTATCTAGTTTTCCAATTTGTTGCATAACTAGATAGATGCATATTTCTTAATGTTGATTAAGTTATATGTTTTATATCATCTTGCGTGGATGTTATGTTTATGGATGGTAGTGGACAACGATTCTCTTGCATTTATTGTATTGATGTAATATAGCTACAAATGTAATATTATTTTTGACTTCTTTCCACCCCGAGCATGGGCTACGCCTACGGGTTTTGGCACTTGCTCACCGATCATGGGCTACGCCTACGGGTATAGGCCCTTGTTCGGGTGTGGGGGGGTATGGTTATTTAGTTTAGTTATTTTATTTATGGCTTTTATTTTACATTCAATGCAATATTATTACCCATCCTACGAGATGGTTTTTCCATTATAAATGGGGCTTGCACGTCCTATGTATATGTGAATGTAGTAATACATGATTTGCAAGGGAGCTAGCAATGTAAGGAGTTGCAAATTGCTTGCCAAAATGTAATTAGTATAGTTGTATTTTATTCCCTTAGTTGTCCACTACCATTCCATATTTCTTTTACATATGTTGATATGTTGGTTGTGCCCCAATTGTAGATGTCAATACAATTGGGTACTATATTCTACAAAGTTTATATCTCTATCTCATTAGAGAATAGTTTTTATTATAAAAAACTCATTTTTAAACTTTGTGAGACATGGCAATAAGAGTTTATTGACCATAGAGTGGTGAGATCGACATTAACATTGTGTTAGTGTGAAAGATAAATAAACCTAAAGCAGTTAAAAGAGATGTATTTAGAACGAACTTTTAACTAGTGTCTAGGAAAGTGATTATGAGATATAACTCATGGGGTGATGCCCAACTTAAGATAAGGGGTGATGCCCAATCTTTCGCGTTATAGTCTTAAAGAGCGGTGGTTACTTAATTAAGGTCCGATGAATATTCCCGGTGAATAGCTCGGAGCCCTCCCACTAATCTTGCACTTTCCTGGCTAGTTTAATTATTGCAAGTATAAATATAGAGAATCTTTGAACTATATCAAGTTTGATTATGGTAAAAGATTTATGAAATCGTCCGTAGCCCTCCATCATTTCAGTTGAATACTACTAAGCTTATAAATACTTTGTTTGTTGGCTATCGGCAAGGCAATACTATTCTATGGCTAAGTAGTATTCATCTGTATATAAGATAAAAGGATAGCTTAAATTGGTTATGCGACTTTGTTGGCTTTCGTCAAGAGTTTGCATAAGTTAAATTTGAGCCAGTCAAGAAATGATGGGTCCAAACTTGACTAGTTTTTATGATTTGTTGGCTATCGTCAAGGTCATAAAAGACTAGGGGTAAAATCATATCAAGAATTACAAGAGTGTAAAAGACAAAAGTTGTCTACCAATTATTGAGTGTATCAATTTGTTGGCTTTCGTTAAGGTTGATACATTCAATGATAATTGGATCTTGATCCCACTTGAAAACAAGTGGTTGTTTTCCGATCACCTCTTATAAGGTTTTGAGGGACTTGAAAAATAGTGGGAGGCATAACTTAGATAAAAATAAACCAAATCTATTTTATGTATTGAACATCTGCTAAAATAATTTTTTCTCTCTCTTTCAGGCCATTATGTCTAGCTTAAAAATCATATCACAACAGAACAAGTTAACCGATCCTAATTTCATAGACTGGTTGAGAAATGTTAAAGGAAACTACCCAGAATTCTTAGCCTCACACATCAAGAATAAGTAAGTTGTTGCTTCATCTTCAGGTGTGTTTGTTACCCAGAATTGTTTTTCTATAAATCCTACATCTTGGGTATTAGATACCGGATCAGGATCTCACATCTGTAATTTGTTACAAGGATTGAGAAGCTATAGAAAACTTGGACCTAGAGAGATGACCCTACAAGTTGGTAATGGTGCAATAGTTACAGCACTTGCAGTAGGGGATTTTCATCTATCTTTACCAAATGGAAACGTTTTGATTTTGAATAGCTGCTATTTTGTACCAACTATGATATGTAATATAATATCCGTATCTTTATTAGATAAAGATGGATATATATTCAAGTTGGAGAACAATGTTATGAATATCATATTTAATCAAAAGTTGATTGCTTATGGAACATTGTGTAATGGCATATATATTCTTAATCAAAACACAATT